GACCTGCTGCGCAGGGTCAAGGTGCTGCGGCGGGGGGCGTTATTTTTTACACTTCATTATTTTCATGTTATTATACTTCACTACTTTTCTTCTTAATGCTAGTGAAGGCTGTCTGTACTTGGGAAGGTCAGGCCGGGTGGAGCACAGCGGTGGAGCTAGAGAAAGGGCACGGTACGGGGTGCCTGAAAACAGGGGGTGGTCTTAAAGGTTGTAGGAAGGAGAGAGAGAGAGAGAGAGAGGCAGGCGGGTTATTCAGAAAGTGTGTAATAGGTGATGCTGTTCACATACTGCATGGTGACTCTCTAATGTTTTCTCTCTATTTACCATTGATTTTGCATGTCCTGAACTTTAAATTCATTAAATTATGAACAAAAATCTTTAAATTACCAAAATTTATTATTATAATGCTGGATTATATTTTCACACTTGCTTTATTGAAGTTGGTGCCTTTTCAGAGTAGTTTATACCAGTTCAGCCCAACTAGTACTTGACAAAATAATTTCAGTTGTAATTTGGCAACAACAGGCAAGAATATTTTTAGTTGGAGGACTGGTTTTGCTTCCTTAGGGTTTGGGAGGGATTTTTTTTTTTTAACCTATCTCCTTAAAATACCTCCCCTCTCTTCTTTGACAGGATGAAGCAGGAATCCCAGGTATACTGGTTGGAGTTTCTGTAGATGGAAAGGAAATCTGGTCAGAAGGTTAGTGTATGGGAGTATTAGTTCTGTAGTTGTGCGTGCCCTTGGTAAATGATGAACGCTCTTTACAAATCAACCATTTACTTCAGACGCAAGTGTTGTTAAATTTTTAAGTTGGCTTCAACTTCTGCCTACACTGTAAGGGTTTAATAGTTCATAACTGCCTGATCTCTTCAAATGAGGTAAAGGAATTGTTAAAATTAGGGAGGTGTCTTAGAATAAATGCTCATCAACGTAAGGCTCTAAAAGACATTTTGTCTGTTGATTAATCCGAGGTGGCCGTTATAAGGTTAATAAAGAACATAGTATACTTGAATGTTTCTTAGCGCTGACTAATTTGCACCATACGTGTTAGGAGAGGGTATGGGACTGAAATTAATGGCATGTGACTTGTGCCATAATAAGTGGAACCGCTTTCAGCTAACCACTGGAATTAAATTGTATATGATTTTAACTCAAGTAGTTCTGATTAGTTATTTTAGTTTGATAAGGCTTTTTCATCAATATTTTTGAAGAAATCTTAGAGGGACTTTCCTACCAGCTCATGTATGGGAAATTCATGGGAAAGTTCTGTCCTGGCCCAAGTCTAAGCCGTTGTTAATGACCGTTGATCATTATACTCCTCGTTCTCCACGTGTTTGTTGCTTGAAAAATCCTGGCACAAAATACTCGTGTGTTTTGTTTTGTGTGTGAAACAGTGAAGAAATGTGTGGGTGGCTGTGCTGATCAAACTAGAGATTCATCCACTTGATGTCCTGTCTTGGGACAGTGGCCAAAAATAGGTGACCAGGGAGTATGAAGTGATGCTTTCCCTGGTAAACTTTACTGACTTTCAGCAATTGGTGATCTAGTAACTTCCTGAGCCTTCTAGTACATCTCAACCATTATGTTTAAGAACTTTTTTTTACATTAATTTGGCAGATCAGTCTTTGAGTATGCTTATACTTAAGGCATACAACTGTACTGTTGTCTAATAGGTTTGTGTGTGAGAGGCAAAGAAGTGGTGTCCGCTCAGGAGCTTACAGTCAAAGAAAGAATGGATCCCATCTGGTGATCCGTCTCCTGTTTGTGGGCTGATGTGTAGCTTCTTACTGGGAAGGTACTGAGGATTTAACAGCTGTCATCCTTCCAGAAATTGCAAGCAATTCCTCTGGTTACACACGTTAGTTTTAAATACAGTCTCTCAGTACTGTTCATTTTGTGTAGACATTTGATATTCATTTAAAAAATTACTGTGTTTATGTTTTCAGAAACATTTTAATAATAGGCTTGTGGGTTTTTTTTTTTTTTTTTATGGAAAACTATGATGAGAGCAGTACATAGCAACATATTTCATTAAAGGGTGGTTACCGAATTTGAAAGATTGTTTGTAACCAACTTTGTCCTGACAGTCTGGTAACGACTGAACTTCTGTATATCCATGAAGCTGGATACAGGTTTTAACTTGTCTTTCATCATGATAGAAGTGAGTAGCAGAGTCTCTGGTTTCTTCTGTAGTGTGAAGAAAATTATGCTACAAACTCGATCACAAACTTCTTCAAATCAGATAGCTTTTCCTGGTCTCAGATTACCTGGCAATGAAAGCAGAAGTTCCTGCAAGACTCCTGTGGAATCCCTTCCTTGACCTTCAGAAAGGTGCTTGAGGGAACTGGTGCCTGGGTTACAGTTTATGATGGAGACTGCCAAATCCAGTAGCAAGACAACTACATGTGGGATTGTAAGCTGGGATAGAGCTGTTCTTTGCCCTCCTCTGTATAACAATCCAGTCTCGAGTGTGGCAGTTGGGATGCAGGTAGCATTGGCCCTAGCAGACTTTAGGCTCATTTTGCTGCCCTCCTTCATGGGGAAAAACAGGAAGAGGTATAATACGTTTGTATTCTGTGACCACAGTACCAAACGTTCCTTCTTGCTAAACTGATTGGAGTGAGTTGAGATTTGGAAGCTGTGTTCACTGAGGGGTACAGCATCTGCATTCAGGGACACATTGCAGGCATTTGAGTAGCAGCTTTCCTTAGATGAAAGGATCTTGGGCAACTGACACTTGTTACCTGTTTTTTTTTTTTTTTTCTTGTAGTTTGGCAAGTTCTGTTGCTCTCTTGAGTATTGTGTTACTGGATTGCAGTGTTATATGGACAGGTGTGCATTACTTGTAGGCCCTGCAAATGTGCTTGCACTGGAGACTGCAAATATATCATTATTGCACCTCACTTCTTTTTAAACCGCAATACCACTTGCGCAGCTTCTTCAAAACCAGCTGAAAATGAAGACTAGTGTGTGTGTGTGTGGGGGGGGGGGGTTGGCATTGCCATATCAGTTCCAGTTGTTGCTACAAGGCTTGTGTGTTGGTTACACAGGAAAACATCTATATGGAGACTATTAAGCAGTCTTTTAATTGAAGCCATGCTGGGAGACATTGAAACATGGTGTATAACATCACTGCTCTGTGAAACTTAACAACTTAGGTAATTGCTATGAGTTTGTGAGTAATTTCCTTTCTTAATCTCTGTACTGATTAAATTTACTTTACATTACTATCTCAACTATAAATTCACAGCAGTAAAAGCAGCAGCAAAAGGAGTATTTATGAATGTTGGCAAGTTATTTTACAGCCTAGGTTTTGGTTTCTCTAGTTTTTCTACACTGAATACTTGACCTCGGGTGTGTAAATGTTGGCTTAATCTTGAATCTTATTTCGTGTTAAGTTTGTTTTGTATTCTTACTTGGTAATTTAGGGTAACTTTGACCAAACAATGACCAATTGTATTTTTTGACCAGTGGGCTTTTGATAAACCATTCCTACTATGTTAAAATGTTATTCACTTAATTGAGGTAGGAGCATGGCTAGTCCAATGCTTCGTGTCTTGGTTTAGCTAGAGGAAAAACATTTTTAGGAGCTAGTAAAACTAATGCTTTGCAAATAACTAATTCAGTATGTCTGTGTGTAAAAATACTTACCATACTGTTTTTGTTTTCTTGCAGGTTTGGGTTATGCTGATGTAGAGAATCGTGTAGTATGTAAACCAGAGACAATCATGCGAATTGCTAGTATTAGCAAGTGTCTTACCATGATGGCTGTCGCTAAATTGTGGGAAGAGGGGAAACTGGATTTAGATGCTCCAGTGCAGAAGTACGTCCCTGAATTTCCAGAAAAAATCTATGAGGGTGAAAAGGTATGTGGTAGTTTACTGGTGACGCTTGTTTGGATTTTGTTCCTGCCATTGCCCAGCCGTGTGTGTAAGGTGTTTGTACCTGGACCTAGTAATGTAAAACACCAGAAATCCTTTAGACGTGTATTGATGTTTGCTGCTTGAAAAAGCAAATGTTGGAAATTTGGATCTTCAGTTTTATATTAAGAGTGTACATGTGTGTGTATATATGCATATGTGTGTGTGTGTATATATACTTAAATATGTGTATGTATATATTTTAAATGAATTTAATGTATAGTGTTTACAAGGTCCTCTATCTTTGCCTCTTCCTTGTCATGTTCTTTTCAGTGATTTGGTATACTTTGTATCTTTAATTTCGAGGGCTTGTGCTTTGATATCGTCCTTTCTACCTAGGTTGTTATTACTACAAGACTGTTAGTTTCGCACTTGAGTGGCATTCGTCACTACGAAAAAGATATTACAAAAGTAAAGGAAGAGACGGAAAAGGCAAACAGAGCATTTAAAGTAAAACCTAACCAGGAGAAGGAACTAAAAGAAAAAGAAGCTAAAGGCGTTGAGAAGACTGATTCTGTCAAGGCTAAGAAAGAACATGAAGGGGAGGTAAGAAGCCGAAATTCAAAACCTGGCAGGAGAGACAAGGAATTTGAACAAGAAGAGTATTATTTGAAGGAAAAATTTGAAAGCGTGATTGAATCACTGAAGATATTTAAAAATGATCCTTTATTTTTTAAACCCGGTGAGTTTCTATTTCTTTTGAGCAAAATGCGCTTTTCTAGTGAAATTTTAGTTTCAAATTGTTTTACATGTGATGAAGTTAGTTTAGTCCAGTAAAGTGGGGTGGTATTTGTTTATTTGTTTTTCTGTGCTCCCTTAAAAGTTCAAAAGAAAAGTGTTCAGGCTGCTCTGTACAAACTGTCCGGTCATGTAATTATCCTACAATTGATTTAGCTTTTGATGATCGAACTAATCATCAGGACTTCATCAAGACACAGCAGTGCTGTAAGGATGTTTTTAAGACCAAGTCTTTAGTGGTACCATATTTGCAGTGTCTTTAAGGGTACAGACCACAGTGTTTGTACATCTGGAAGTCCTTACCTGTAGAGTAGAGCGCGTATCTTGTATAGAGGGGTCTCCATTACCTGTTTACGCTACTCATGTACTGTTTGCCTCTGTTCTCTAACAACTTGTTTGATTTCTCCGTTACTTTGGCTACGCAGCTACAACAATTAGACTTTATTTAAATGCTTTTTAATCCTCACATCATGGAGGAGGGGAGGTTGACTAGTAAAATACCAAAACACTAAACCTTATTGAAGATGCTGAAATTATTTAAGTTAATGCCAGAGATGACTTTGAAGAGTTCCAAATATAAGTTCTAAATGAACTGGGTTAGTAGGCAAAGGATGCTCGTTGCCGATAAACAGCGAGTAACGTGTATTTAAGGGGAGACGGATATGAAGGGTAAGAAGTCAACCATTTTTCCACCTGGGAGAGTTGTAAGTTAATTGAACCCTTTCAAATAAGGGATCTGTCTGCGACTAGGTTGTTCAGTGAAAACTTTTGCTTAGTATGATGATGTTTCAGAAAAGGTGTTAGCACAAGAAATAAGGAGATTAAAAACACGAAACATCCTTTATAAATAAAATTATCTGAAGCAATATGTGTATTACTGTTCACGTGAACAGTAAAGGATATTCTAGAACTAGAAAGGTTAAAACATGACTCTAGAAGTGACTGAGGACATGGGAAAAGCTTGAGACAGTACTAAGCCCTACCTTTCCACCTCTAAGGTGTAGGTACACAAAGAAATTACAGTGGGTCAGCTTCTCTTAGGAACTGATTACATGGTTCACTTCAGCTGCTCTAAATCCTGGTATCCTTATTAGGATGTTAAAGGATGTTAAATGTTATTCTCTATGTCTCAGCATGAAACTCTTCTGTAAGTGCTGATTCTTGAAAATTCTTTAGTGCTGTTGTCACAGCTACCTGCACTTAGTGAGCATCTCTGCCTGCTCCAGTACAGTAATTCCTAGGAATCAGTATCTTGAGCCCTAGTTTTCCCAATTGGAATATAGTGTAAATAAGTCTTTGAATTGCTTATTCATTGCTGTACGTAGTTTTATTTCCTGTGTGATTACCGACGTTTTATCCCTGAAAGCTTTCATTTAAGCATCATGCAGCTAACCTTTCCCTCCCTCCCTCCCCCTCACCCCTTCTTTTTCCATTTTCTTAAGGTAGTCAGTTCTTGTATTCAACGTATGGCTTCACCCTCTTAAGCGCAGTTGTGGAGAGAGTTTCAGGACAAAAATTTACAGATTATATGCTAAAAATGTTTCGGGACTTGGATATGCTGTCAACTGTACTGGATGACAATGAAGCAATGATATATAACAGAGCAAGGTAAACAAGAATGAAATTTTACTCTACCTTTTTCACAGTAACTGTTGCTCTTTCTGTCTTTTTAAGCCTGCTTAATTAAATTTTTTTTTTTTTTTTTTTTTGGACAGGTGTTTAGATGAGGTGGTTCATGATATTTCAAACTGGAATTTTATGTTAGCATTATGGTATTGATCCTATAATTAGCATGTGAAATTACAGAGCAGAAAATAAATATTTCCTGTTATGAGGGCATATATTATTTTTAAATATATCTGTAGATGCATATATAGGGAGAGATGGTAGGGGATAATTTTGAAGTTTAGTTTAGTTGCAAATAAGCAGGTAAGTGTAAATAAGGGAATATGAAGGAGTAGCTGGGGAGGCTATTGTACAATGTAGAGTTACCTTATTTTGCTTTGTATACTGACTTCCAAAGAGTTTCACTGAATTGTGATAGCTTAGTCCCACAGCAACACAAGGCTTGGTAAATTATGGTATCGATTTTAACCTGAATTAAAATCCTGTTTAACACAGAACTTGTTTCATCAATTGATATCTTTTTAAGAACTTCAAAAAAGAAGAATGTATGTAACTAGGTATCCTTTTGAACTTAGTGGATAAGGGCTGTGCTTGTCATCTCTCTCTCTCTCTCTCTCTCTCCGTTCTTATTTTACTGAGCTACCCGTTTGAGTTACGAACTTGATTTGTTGACTCGCCTCTTAAATTTTGGCACAGGAAGAGGATTCTAACTGTATCAGATAAGGTTGTGGAAAAAGTCTCATAATACCTGAGTTTGGCTTCTAAAAAGCTCTTAAAGAATGAAAATAGTAATAGACATATTGAATCCAATCACAGTTACATATAAGTGTGTATTTAAAATCTATATGTATACAAAAAAGCACTCCATAACTTTTTAACGATAGTTTTAATGCTGTCTTCTAAGACTCTGTGCTGGTGTTTATTTTGCTTAAAAGTTTTAAAAGGTTCTTCTGGCCATTTATAGAACTGGATGCTAGTTACTTTGTTCTTATAAATTACTGAGCTTGTACGGTCAGGTTCCTCTTTTCATATCTATCTAGAGAGAGAGAGAGGTGAACCCTTTTACAAACCGAAATATGATAGGGATGAAATAATTTGGACAGACATTGCTATGGGGGTTGTCTTATGGGCTATTTAATATTAAGTGAAACCAAGTGTTGTTTTTACTTTTAAGCATAACTAGCTTGATATCTCAAACTAGAAAATATAGAGAAGTTGTGTGTTTTTTTCTTTAATGGCTTGTTTATGCTATATTTCACTGATACTAAAATGCTTAAAAATTTTCCTGAGGTATAAGCCAGGCATTGAGCATCTTTGTAAGAAACTATTATCATGATAGGAAAACTATCATGGATGGGGCACTGAGAGATGCGCAAGTTACTGGCTGAGTTGATGGCAGGGTGGGATTCTCTCTCTCTCTCTCTCTCTCTCTCTTTTTTTTTTTTCTTTCTTCAAGCTGTAAGTTTTCAGAAGATCCCTAAAAGTTGTCCAGTGTAAATGCAGGCTAGATAGGAAATGTATACCTATTTGATAGCAGGCATACTTTTTATACTTTTCACAGATCTCTTAAGTAGTCTGTGGGCCTCTTGTGGCCTAAAAACCACAGGCTGAAATTCATCAGTTTATTTTGTTATTCCACATTTCTCTTGATATGTTGCATCAAATGGATTCAGTCATGACTGGGCTGTTTATGTCAGAAGCATGTTTCAGTCGATGCTGTGGTGTTCCTGATAGCTCATTCTCCAGTTCTGGGTGATGGTTTCCAATTCATATTTTAATGAAAGGTTTGCAAGGCTCTTTCGTGCTTCTCGTTACTTGTAGTAGTTCTGGCATACTCAGTTGTTCTGCATAGCCACTGTAATGGAAAAAAAGGCAATCGTAAATGTAAAACACTGCCTCACAGTGAACAGGGCATGTAGGGCTTTGGGGAAATTTCAGAGCAGCGCCTGATAATCACAAGGGCAGTAGTAGGATTCCTCTCTCTTGAAACACTTTAAATCTACTACAAAGATTTAGAAAAGTCCTGTGCTAGCTGATCTACAGACGTCTTCCTTATTTTCTGTATTGCCTTGGCCTTTAGTATATCCCAAATATAAGAAGAAAGATTAATACTTTATTGAAACAAAACTTCTAACCCAAAAAGTCTCACCTTTTTTTTGTTTTGCCATTTGAATTTATTTATAATTTGATTTTTTTGCAAAAAATATTTCTATGTTAAAAAGACAATTCTAAAGTTTCTGGAGAGCAAGCTGATCTATATAGTCAACTTGTGCTTATAAAGTAGGGCAGTTCAAAATAGTTGTGCGTAATATCTGAGAATGATGAGTTTAATTTTCTTGAATTCTAGGTGTTATGTTTACAACAAAAAGGGACGTCTAGTAAACGCACCGTATGTGGACAACTCTTACAAGTGGGCTGGTGGTGGCTTTCTGTCATCAGTAGGTGACCTTCTGAAATTTGGAAATGCCTTGTTGTACAGTTATCAAGTTGGACGATTCAAAAACACTAACGGCAAACTTCTTCCTGGGTACCTCAAACCAGACACGGTCACAATGATGTGGACGCCAGTGCCAAAAACTGAAGTGTCATGGGACAAGGATGGTAAATATGCCATGGCTTGGGCTGTAGTAGAGAAGAAACAACAATATGGCTTTTGCAGACAGCAGAGACATTATGCTTCCCATACAGGTGGTGCAGTGGGGGCAAGTAGTGTCCTCCTCATCCTTCCTGAAGAGCTGGATTCTGAAGCCATAGATAATGGGCTAGTGGCACCACCTAGAGGAGTAATTGTTACTATTATCTGTAACATGCAGTCGGTTTCCCTCAACAGCACTGCTTTAAAGATTGCAAGGGAATTTGATAAAGAAAAATGGGTGCAATATGTAGATTAGAAGAACAGATTTGAGTGAGGGAACTACTGTACTGAAACATGAAAAAAATAAACGGAGAGGGGTACAACTGAAGTTTGAGGTCACTAAGAATACATGAGCGAAAGTATCCAAAATTCACTTAATTAACTTCTGCTAGTGGTGCTACGTTTTCATGTAACTGGAATTCATCTCTCAGGGAAGTTGCTAGCTTATCGAAGAGAATGTAGAAGTTGAATTTGACTTCCTGTGTTACCCATGTATAAATTATCATTATACATTATATTAGCAAGTCTTGGTGGGTTTGGTTTTGTTTTTTTTCCCCCTCTCCTCATCCAGTCTAGCACTTGACCAAGATTAAAGAGCTAGAATCGGTTTGTTGTACTGGGAAGTACAGCAGGCAATTATCTAACTTAAATGTTAAACTTGTGAAAAGTTTCACATCTTGATTTGAGCACACCAAGCTTAATGTTTTTTCACAATTGAGGTCTGCCACAACTATTCAGCATTGTTTAAAAAAAAGTTTTAGTATTGTTTTTAGATTTTTACAGAGCTTTTCTCATTTGTTTAAAAAGCAAAAAAACAAATCCTGAAGCTACCTCCAGAATGCAGATTTATATGAGAAGTACGTTTTTATCAGGGCTGTGGATTGTTGAAGAGTTAAAAAAGAATGAAGCTAGAGTAACGTGAGTAAAAATCTTTTCATTATGTAGATGTCTGCTCTTCCATTTTGACTGGGCACAGAGAATGTGTGAAATTTTTTACTGTGAAAGAAGGGTATTATTTCACAGCTGAATATGCCAGAATAGCGCAACATGGTGAGCCATCAAACCAAGTCTCTTTGTTATCTTCCCCTAAAAGATAAACCAGCCACAATGATGCATGTGCTAACTTAACTTTGGTAGTAAAAGTGGTAGCCAGTAGCCAGAAATACCATTGTATTCTGGTATGCAGATAGACCTTTAGATAAAGAAAACACGGACTTGACTTCAATAAAATTTAAAGGCCGCTCCTGAGGCCAGTAGTAGAAGTCTTGCAGAGAGAGCTTTTTCTCAAAAACTATCCTTTCTCCCATTCTGGAGACCTGCCTTAAGGAGTTAATTTTGCACAAGGTGAGCAATAAATTATTGTAATAGGTTTCCAAAGAAGCTATATCTAAGCTTCATTTGTATGATAGGAGTATAATGACAGCTCAATATGTGAATTTTATATATTCCATAAGGGCATCTCCTTTTTCTCAAGGACAAGAAGAAGCCATTTACTGCTCATTCATCCCTTTACTGCTCTGTGTTTTTCCCAGTCCACGTCTGTTCAAAATGGGTTTTAAATATTTCAGTATAGGAAATGATGTGCCCTTTTGGAGGGGCAAGTTATTGTATTGTCCACGTGCCCTAACTGAAAAGGGTTCCCATTACTGCCTTTTCTTGGTGTCAGACGATTTCAGAATATTTGTCATAGCTCTTGAGAGCCTCTGTACTGTTTCTAACACAGAAAATAATAAAATTTGTGTCCCTTAACATTAGATTTGGAATACTTCAAAAGGTGGAGTCTTTCTTCCTTTTTTAAATCGATAGCAATTCCTCATACTAGCTGTATCACAGTCTTTGCAACTTCTTACCTGTTTAGAGGAGGCAGCTCAGACTGAACTGTTTTAGTGTGTTCTCCAGCAGCAACTGCTTAAATTATCCCTTTCACATGTATCTCTTGGTTAAGTTTGTCATCAGGAAATCTTTGATACTGTCTTTAGGAGAATTGCCACATGTTTCTTGTACAGTGCCAAGCATGATGCAGTCCCAAAACAGCTGGGAAATGTTATTTTGTGTGTGTGTGTGTATATATTTCTACTGTAGTTTTGAATTAAATGAGAAGATGGTACAAATTTAGCATGACATATACTTGAGACTGTAGGGATACTGTATAGTTGAGGAGTTACCAATTCCAGTTACCAGTGCTCCAGTCTGTGCTCTAGTTCTTGAGAGAAATAGCATGTGTAAACTTAAAGAGGTGGTCAGAGTGAAGATAATGTTCTGATAAAAGATTGCTGTTGTCTTGCTGCAAGTTCCAATCAGTGTCATAGGACTGGATTTTAGAAAACAAAAATTAGGTGTTTCTGTAATTTTTTTTTTTTTTAACAGTAGATATGTGGTCTCAGTTCACTAACTCTTAAACAGTTTGCTGCTTTAATGGATTATGATTATTGACTCTGCGGATTATCTTCTCAATACTAACGCTTTTAGATGAATGCCGCTAACTTGTTCTATGCCCAGACCTTTGGTTTAGTACACAGCTGCCATTAGTTACTATCAGTAGGTTGCATCCCATGTTTTCTGTCCACAGTGCCAGTAGGATTGATAGTTTGCAGAGTTGGCACTCAGAGCCTTGCTGTGCGTGTTTCACCAACAGTTTCGTCACAAGACTGCAAGGAGGTGGTTTTTAACAAAGAACTCCTCTTCCCCTGCACTTAGCTCAGATGCTTTTTTCCAGCCTGAGACAGCACAAAACACCCTTTAGGAAAGGTTTGAATGCTTATGTCCCAGCACTGCTTAGCAGCTGTGCTTCTCTGAACCCAGGGAGAAAGATGTCTCAGATAACAACAGCTAAGAGAAGATAGCCTTACCTGCCTCTTCCCCAAGCTAGTGCTTCTGGTGTTAAGCTCATAATTGATTACTTGCTGTGTGGTGAAATAATATGCTGTCAGCTCTGTTCCCAGTACAGTTACTAAGACTGACAAACCAAGAAATGTACTATTATGAGGTGTCAGTGTTTTATCTAGATTTTTAATTCGAGATGGCATAACTGTTTTAGCGCTTCTCATGATTATAGATAATCATTCTTGTGCCTTAAAGCAATAAAAACCTTACATCTATACTATTTGCTTGGGTTTTCTTGCCCACTAAAAAGTCACTTTTTTATTCGTTAATAACGAGTTGTCTTAATATCTCAAAAATATCAAACCAGTAGAGAGAATATAGGCATGAAAACCTTTCTGAACAAAATTTTCATTTGGTCAAGCAATAAATTCATCTAATTCCTCATTGAAATCTTTAGTCAGGTCCAATACAGAAGTACTGGAGATGAGCATCTTCTACAGTGGCAACGTGTTTTCAGTCTCGAGCACCTAGTAACTGGTAAACATGCAATAGCAGAAGTCATTGCTCATTTTAGACACGGAACAAGTAATTTGTTCAGAGTTGTTTTCATGGGATACATTAACAGAAATTGGCCAGATATAGTGTTTTAAATACAGAAACACTGAAAACTAACATTGGTACTATAGGCTTTATAGCTTTTTTTTTTTCCTTGTATGGTATTTTTATTTTGCAAGTGTTTGGTTTTGGTGTAATTGTCCTTGAAAAACATGTTGTGTACTTTAGAAAACAAATTTCATTCAATGACTGTTGTGCCTAGGTTTAGATAAAAGATTCAGCATGTAAGAAATGTAAGTTTACCAGTATGCTTGTCTACACGTGACCAAATATGCAACATGAATGAATATTTGAAGTATGTATGAAAGCGAATAATGGCCAGCCGTGTCTGACATTTCTAACACTAAACTATTAACGATAGTATCTCATTTGACAAGTAGAATGGTTAACCATTAACTTTATATGCAGAGACAACATTCTTTATACTGTATCTCTGGTAACTGAAGGCTTAAAAAAAAAAAATCAGTGTTCAAATGTCACTAGCCTATTGTCATGTGTATAGTATTGGAAACATTACAATGTGTACGTTTCACCTGGCACCTGTAGCAAAACGGGTCACTGACTTGTTTTGATTTGGTAATTCTTACTTAATCATGACTTTTAAGTTCTTGTCTTTTGGGGGGGAGGGGAGGGGAAGAAGTGATACAGGGAAGCAGGAAAAATAGTAACCAGTTCAGTTTTAGCACATATATTCAGGTCACAAGTGAATTAGTATTTCTCCTCTGATCTTTGTTCTGAAACCAGTTATTTGATGGACTGGCATTGAGTGTGGGCAACTGTCTGCTCAGTCAAGAGCAACTTGAGTGATAAATATGCTCTTAAATTAACCTTTACTGTGAAAACACAGTATGGCACTGACTTAAAACTATTTTCCTTAAAAGGCATGTATACTAAATTGGTGTATCTGTTTCTCTACCAAACACCTGCTTTTTGCATCTGGTAATTATCAGTGTTCACTGAATGAAATAACTGAAATAAAACATATCTTGCAAATGCACTGCATTATAATATCAAGGGTGGGTTTTTTTTATTGACTAGAAACTGACAAATTTGCTCTCTATCATTTAAAAAAAAAAGAATACAGGTTAAATAAATTCCCAACCACAGTCAGCTCACCAAGACAGCTGGTATTTTTGAAAGAGATGTTGTTGACATGTAACTGAAAATATTTAGTAAAATAAGATGCATATAAGATTACATTGTTTTAATGGTTTATCATGGATAAAAAAGCTGTTCAACTCTAATGTTCTTGCACAGCCATTTAGAAATGGATGTCGTCTTTAAAAATTAATCTTAAAAATCACTTTCCTCATTCAAATGAGTCATTATCCATGTTTTCAGTATTAAATATAAATGGTTTTGCTATTAGTTCTTTTGTGACTTGCTGTCATTCTCAGATGTTAATGTAGATTGCTGGCTGATTGTTACTCATATACCATATGCCTTCCCTATACTGAATGCTTTTGATATTTTGCAAAATACTCCTTCTTCGTAGTGTAATCCAATCCAGCGTAGAAGCTCAATGGCAGTTTATAGACTTTGGGGGAGGGGGGGAACCATGCATTCTATAATAACAGCTGAACATAAGTGGGTAACTTATATTTGAGAAATAAACTGAAAGACTATCAGCACATTCATCAACATGGTAAAGGGACTACAGTAATGCCGAAAGCAACGGAGTTGCACGCCCTTTTTAAATCTGTTTAGCCTTTATGATCCTTACATTAGAGCAGCATAAAGCATACAAAATGCATTCTTACAGTGGTCTCTGTGTCACCACATGCCTTATACTTCTTAACTGATATTAACAAGGGAAAGGGTACATGCAGCAAGTGTGAGGTTCAGATTCTTACATTAAATGCCACTACTGAGTTGTAATACATTGTTTAAAAGTAAAACTATAAAAATAGAGCTTAACTGTCTGCAAACTTGCAGAAAAAATTTGCACTTCAAACCATTTATTGAAAAAGAGATTCCAGCTCATTAGTCACTTGTGATACATAATTTTTACAAAATCAACATTGTTATATTAACGGACTTTTTTTTTTTTTTTTTTTAAACAGATAAGGCTTTCAGGAACACAGATCCATGTCAGTATGTTGAAGCGACTGTTCAGTGTTGCTTTCTTCTAAAAGAACAGCCTGTAAAGAAATGACAGGCGTATAAATGAATAGTCCTTAAATTGTTAGACTGCCATGAAAAATTGCTCACCCAACTTCTGCTACAGAACTTCCATGATAAATTTAAATTTCATATACCAGAAAAGGTAAAGAACTAGCGCTTTGACTCCACTCTAATCCAACCAGAATGACATGAATGTTTTATAAATCATCTTATAATAAGGCTCAGGGGTACCATTTTTTTCCAGATGTCTTTTTAAATTCCATTCTACTGTTCCACACGTGACTGGTACAAACCCTAAACTGAAACAGCTGCTAAAGCTGTTGAGCAGCTGAAAGGGTTCCAACACTATTCAGATATACTGAACTCCCATAAACTACATGTGTATAGTAGTATATGACACAAGCATGTTATATATAATTCACATGTGTTTACCTTTTAAACAAAAACCATGAATGAAATCTGGAATCGTTATTTAAAGTACTTTAAACCCTCAAAGTGTTTCCAGTGTTTTCCATATACTAGACCCTGAGTTGCACTTCAAGATACTGGTGTTGTACCAGTTATCCCTACATAGTAAGTGATTATTTGCTTCCTTATAATTTATACAAAACAAATTTTGATAGGGAACACTAAGCAAGTAACTGGAAGGAAGGAACCTTTGAATACTTTTTTTTTTAATTAGAAAAAAAAAAAAAAACCACTGACTAGCAGGGAGAGGGATCCCTTTAGCCTTATTTAAAAAAAAAAAAAAAAAAAAAAAACTCTCTTCCTTTAACAGTGGATATATAATCACAGGAATCTTTTTTAACCCTCTAGACTTTGTTCAGAATTAAAATTAAATAGATCATATATCCATTGACAGTTAGGCTGAAAGAAATTACAAGTCAAAGCATCTTAAAGCAAGTGTCATCAAAATATAGCTGCTTAGCTGTTTGGTGGGTCTATATAGCCATTAAAAAAAAAAAAAAGCTGCAAAAAAATAGGGCCCATTAACAATGTTTTTGCTAAGATCCTCTAAACAATTTGAGAAATTTTTCCAATATCAGTTTTCAAAATCAAAGCTAAAAAACTATTTGCAGACTATAAATGCATGGTCTTAAGTGCAAGATTTGGACGGTTAAAGATTGTCCCTTACCTTCTGTGAGCCTAGCCTTTCCCCCAGTAGGCTGGCACAGGACAGTTGAGCATCCTACGCACAGAACTACTGTCTGAGCGTGGCTGAATACGGTGGTGATCTTGTAGCATCCTGGAAAACAGTGTTGTTATAATTTTTCATTAAGTGTTTCTAGCATTTTTTAAACATAATAAAGAGAGCTAACAGGCACTACTTACTTCAACTTACAACTTTTCACCGATAAAAAGGGAGGAATGTGTATATTTCATTATTTTAACCTTTTTAAAAGTACAGGATGCCTCATAAGAAGTCAGACGAGTACCTCTAACAATAACGCTTAAACAGCTACTCTGCATTAATGTGTTTCATTACTGGTCCTGTCAAGGTACTTGCAATGGGAAGCTTAAGAGCAAGTACACAAGAGTTGTTCTATGGTTTAAGTAACCAACAGCATTATTTGACACACATCCCATAGTACGGTTTACCATTATGAAATTTGCTCTATTAAGAATATTGTTTTTCCTTTTATCAACATATTGGTCTTACTAAGACCACATTGAGGTAGGCATGTTACCAGTTCAGCTGCTGTACACTTTTTGAAAAAAATAAGTATGTGCTAAATTACCCAGGGCAATTACAACTGAAAATTTTCAAATTATTTATGGTATGTGTGGTTGAACCAGATACTCTAAATACAGTGGTCTAAAAATGGATCTATATTTCATTACACAGCATAGTAAGTAAACCAAAACAAAATGTTGCTACTGTAGCTTAAAGTACTTGCTTTTATTAATATGCAACCAAAACTCACAGCTAATTAACTGAAATTATTATGACGGTTTCTATGAGACTCATCAACAAAGCCTGATGACTGACAAGCCTGAATTTACCTGTGGTATGTCTCCTGCAAACAGTAGGAGTCTGATCCCTTATCTTTATGGCTATCAGAAACCGCAAAACATTTAGACGCTGCTGGTGAAACTGTTCCAATGTATTTATATTTTCTTAACGCATAGGGGAAAAAGAGAACTATCTCATCCCAAGCTTTAAAGGAGTAAATCAGGAGGAGGTCCTATAGATGCAGGCTAGGGTATCTTCTTATGGACCTTTTAGAGGCTTGTGCCGATACACCCGTAGGACAAACTTCAGAATAAGCTAAGCTCTTCCTTTGGTAAGTAGCTTATTCTTCTGCACAGTGGTTAGTCTCAGGGTTGGTTTGTCTGTTTGTTTTTTGTTTTTAACAAAGCCAACAGGAGTGAAAATAGAAGCTGCCACCTAGTAGACGGTCTTCATACCTTTTTCAAACAATTTTTTTCCTTAATGACATCAGAAAATTCATGATATGCAGGACAAAACATTCTATCTAGAATGCAGGTCAAACTGCAGTGATGCTTCCCAGTTCTCACAATGCTGCACTGCCATTGCAGACCTCCTGCTTTCCTGACATGAGGTCTGTTTCTGGGACTCACTTCCTCCACTGCATATAAGAATCCATCCATCCGGAGAAACAGGTAATTTGCTATGGTACATCACTGCTGTTGACAAGGTCTGGCAGCTGTGAATATGAACATGGCTGTAATCTATCTGCTTTCTGTTTAATAATTGGTACACACAAGCCACATGCTTGGTTGTATTCTACTAAGCTGGTGTCATATTTAAACCAGAAGCCTTGCATTGGAAAAATTCACTCAATTCCACATCCAAAAAAAAAGCATTTTGCAGATAACTTCTAAATGCCATGACTTAAGAAAGCAAAAATGGACTCTTTCTAATACATGGCTTAGACAAAGGGATTTTTCACTTTTTTTTTTAATTAGTTGGGAGAAATTGGAAAGGGGGGGTATTAAGAGATGAGAAGATTATAATGGATTTAAATCCAGATGTGGATATAAACAATAGACAAATAGCTACTGACAAGCATAGAAGCCATTTTCAGGTGGCATTGGTATCTGAAAACATCAGAAAGAGATGATAAAATAGAATATATATATATAATAGAATATATATGCGAGAAAGGCCTTCAGAAACTTCAGAAAACCCCCTGACAAGCTGGTAGGCAAAGAGAATTCCTATGAGAGAAGATGGCCGCTTTCTACTTTGTTTGCAAGAAGCTGCTAGAAGCTAAACCTTAACAACAGCAAGTGTTGTTTTCCCCCACAAATTTGAACTTGTATGTTGATGAGATTTTATTTTGGGTTTTGCAAGAAAATGAGCCCAGGTAATTTCCATAACTATTTAGCATCTTCAGCAACAGTGAACAATACAAAAGGCTGCTTGATATCATAAGCAGTGATGCCTCAGTGAGCATCATCGTTGAAGCTCTCCTCCTTTGCTCTATATTTCCCTAAACTCGATAACCAATTAATCCAACAATTATGAATGTAAGAGATGACCTATGGGCATAAGTTGGCATCGCTAACTGTATCTTAGTAATGCGTGTATGAATGCTTCTGTGAAGCAATGTAAATACTCTTAAGTGGCTTAAGCATTAACCATGTATTTTTTTAAAATAATCACACTTTACCTTCAAACAGTTTTAATAAGTTTACATCATCTTTAGATGGAAAACAATGTTTCAGAGCATCCTAGAAGTCTAAACTACTAAGAAAGAACAGGATAACAACAAATACAAGGAAATGAATACAGCAGCAATTACTACACTGCTTCCAGTCAGGATGACCACTGTTCTGAGTAAGTCCAAGTATTTTCCTACTGTTTTAATTTAAGATACAGTTTATAGTTTTCTTATACTGCAAGAGTGGTTAAGAGACAAGTTACAACATTTGACAATTTCTGTGTCTCAGTATGAACGCAGCTGTGCTTGAAAGAAGCTGTTCACTGGTGGAGCATCCTCTTATAACTGCTAGGAAATGTTATGTTCTAGCATACACAGGAGAGGTTGTACAGATGCTTCTAAGCCAAAATATTTTAAATCTGTGAAAAGTGGGCACAGACAATACCTTAAATATATGTCCTGTATGTGTGGGTTGGATGTCAAGTTACTTAACAGCAACATGCGAAAGAGAGAAGTAGCTTATTTTTTACTTTATATGTAAAGTTCTAGTATATGTTTGTATCCTTGCAAAACATTTTTATGGTTGTTCTTCTAAAAATCAACCAACTTAACAAAAAAAAGTTGTTATTTTCCATTTGAAACTTGTGCAATGGATGCTTTAAAACCCCCCTTTCATTTCAGGGCTTACGTGTGGAAATGCTGGTGTTTGTTTTTTCCTCACCTGCCAGGATTTCAGAAAGCAACAAACAAACAAGGAAAACACCAACATAATGTCATTTCAAACCTCCAGAAAAGAAAATAAGACCTGATATTTTAAATTAACTCTTCAAAACGGTTAAAACACTTTTATTGTAAAGAAAAGGCAACAAAATTTCCAACTATATTTTTTTAATCTACAGAACACAAAGCACATTTAGGCGAATTATTTTTCCCAGGCCTTTCATGAAGCTGAACTGTGTACAAAATCAGTGCCGTTCCTGTTTTAACAGACAAACGGTTTAAGTATATTTACCTGGACATTTTACATCCATAAAGTAGGAGTTTGGGCTCTGCACAAGACGTTTCTTTTTGTGCTTTTTCTTCTCATCCTCTAGAGAGGGATGCACTAAATCTTTAGCCAACTGGACAGGAAAAAAAAAATACACTCAACGTTGAATAACATTGAGTCTAGTTAGTCAAACTACGTCCCGTGAACCGGATCTTCTGCAGCCCGTAGTTTGCTCCTGGGCATAGCTGCAGAACCATAGTTACCCCACCTGTGTAAACACTTGTTCTTTAGAATAACTTACAATACCATTATTGACTTGTAATGTTACTTGAATCCCAGAATAGAAATTGCAGCATGTTAGGAAAAATGGTGTCACTCCAGACAGACAGTGGAGTGGCGCTGCTAATATGCACGCTTGCCTTGAATGAAAGGGTTGAAGCAGACAGGAATAACCAAAAAACCCTCACAAGCGTTTCTAGGAACTTGCTGTGCCTCTTGATTCCTGCGAGGACTCCCTTTAAAAGCAAGCGTGGAGCTATCACTGGGGGGGGGG